CTTGTGATCACATACCTGGGATATTCGCAAATTCTGGTTTGTCACAAGGCAAAAGGCAACACAGAAACTCAGAGTGACTTACAATTTGCCAGATGTGCCCTTTGTAAATCAGTCACTGGAGGGTGGTTACTGTGAAAGTATATTTAGACTTTCATGCCATCAACTGAAGGAAGAAGAGCAAAGAGCATTAACTAATAGCTTCATAACATTTGTCATTAAGTTAAATATTGGCTTTTGCTGAAATTAAAGACATGTACATCTGGAAGGGAAAGACCCTAGCATAATATTTTAAACAACACAACAATAATAAACCTCCTACTTCCACTATCAAATTAGAATATTTTCACAGTCCATTTACCCAATCATTAAACAAAACCAACTGTCCTTTCGAATGACCATTTTACAGATTCATTATTAATGGAAATAGAAGAAATAATTGAAAACCAAATATAACTACTGTGCACATATGCAGTGGAAAAACCAGAGACCTGAAATATGGCAAAATCAGTGCTTCATAAACAGTCAATGGATTTTTTTCTAAAAATACTTTTTGCTAATGGCAAAGTTCAACACCTCAGAAAAACTCTGAATTAAGATCTTAGAATAAGTTTCCAAGCTGTACAACATAGTTTCAAATACACTACCCTTGTTGTTTTAAGGCCGCATTGAAGTTTAGCTTAACAGTCGTAAGCCATGTGTTTGAACATCTTTAGGAGAAGTGACCGGCAGAGAAACAAATTTTTTCCTTGTTCACCTTACTACCTATCAAGAGATACCCTTGCTCTCCAAATAGCTCCTTTAAAAATTTCCTTCAAGATATGACCTTGACAAAAATCCCAGATTTATTTCACTGAATCATCTGGAAAAATACTTAGGCTTTATAAAGTGACAATATAACACGTTGAATTGGCTAAGAGTGTGCTCTTGTTCATCTATAACTACCCTCTTTAATCTGTATATTAAGGTTTAATAAACAAATATGCAAAGATGCACCCTCTCAGCTGTGGCTCTGCTGCCTGCAGGGTTGAGAGCTGTAGAATAGTGGCATTCTGCATATATAAATTTTCTGAAGCCAGTAAATTCTGTGTGCTGTTAACATAACTGGGGAACTTAAACGCACTGCAGACCCCCTGACAGCTTGAATTGATGGTTTTCCAAGAGAAAGCAAGTACATCTTAGGTGAAGGGCAAGGAAAAAGAGGAGGCTGGGAGCTGAGATTTTTCTAGCATGCCTTCTTGCCTAACGGGGTTATCTTCCAGGGAAGAGCTCAACCCTCAGCAGGGTACACGTTTGTATGGCACCAGAACAATGAATGAGAGGCCAGTCCTCTTTTCCACTTGTCTGGCATGATCTCCTGGCAAGGATGGGGTAGGTGTTTGCCAGGTGGCTCCCAGACAAGGTCTCTTTAGGGGAATACAACAAGGCTTCAGTCATTGCTTTTCATGAAGTGCTTTGGGATCCTTCAGGAAAGGGGACTGGAGGAATATTATTACGAACTGGCTTCAATTTTCAAACCAAATGGAACCATTTTCTCCAGTGTAATTATTGCTTCGAGCGTTAGTGAATGTTCTTAAAATGGAATGGATCTCATCTTTAAGTACCCACTTCTTAAAATACTCATTCCCTGGAGTGAAAGTTTTTAATTACTCTCTACCAGGTACCCTTACCAATTAAGAGGCTGCGATAGCCTTGTAAATGTTGTCCAGCATATACATCCAGGACTTGTATTTTCTAGGTTCTCCTCCCTTACAAATAGACAGCAGGGGGTGCAATCAAAGATGTCTAGCAGAACATGTGCTATGTTTGTCTAGCTGAGGAGACAGGCTCTTGCTTCTTCAAGTCCTCAAAGAGAAGATGTATGCTGAATGTATGGCTGCGTTCTTGGATCAGATTGTGAGCCCCTTGAGGCCTGGGGATGTGTTTCACCCTTGATTCTTTGGTTCTCTATGGGACTTGGGAGGAAAAGAGATATGGGAGGCCCTAGTTAAGATCTTTAAGGATTTCTACAAATGATGGGAGCTGAATAATGCAGTGGAGAGTAAACCACATGAGAAAATTGCTGGAAAAGAAGACCCAGGGTAGGAAAGTTTCCTCCAAAGCCTCTCAGATTGGATTTGACAAGAATAAAAGGCCAAGTCCATCATATCTGAAATAAAAAAAACAAAAATTACCTAGACACTGACATATCTCTATAATTAATGCAGATAAATATAAATCTGTGAATTAAAGAACACATATTTTTTTTTCTCACTAGAATACCTTAATTCTTAAACTGAGCTCACGAGTGTTACAAAATGGAACATGGGGGTGATCAACCTGAACAAATGGCTAATTCTTGAGGATATAAAATATCCACTTTTTAAGAAAATATTGCTAGAAAAATATACTTTCAAGTGGATCAAGTAGGCCCAATAAAATCTACTGTGCATTACTCATTTCTCTTTTACTTGTGAAAAAATAAAGATGACTGTATCCCCAATATAAGTTAGTGGGTTTGAAATTAATACAGTTTGGGTCCAGTAAGCCAGAACTTGATGACCAAATGAGGGTTCAAAAAGGTGGGTCAGTCTCTGTCTCAGTTGCTTGTTGAATGCCTCCCATCTGATGCACAGTCAAAAACTTCCTCCTGTGTTGGCAGAAAGGTCTGGATCAAAAAGTTGCGTGGCTTCTCAGGTTTTGACAACTCCAGCATCTCATCTCAGGGACTCATTTCACGTAAACAATCTGTCTTACTTAAAATAAGAAGAAACTTTAATGTGTGTAACTCTGCCATTCCTTTTATTATCTAGGAGTCATAATCTGAAATTTCTCTCAAATTTGCTTTTTAGCTAGTAAACTTAGATAACTTTTACATGAAGTTTTGCATTCCCTAGCAACAAGGAACTCTGAGATATTGGAAATTTGTTAGCTACAGGTTGAGCAATGGACTTGAATTGAAATTGGAAGTAAAGGTTTTTAAAAAATATTTTTAGTTGTATATGGACACTTTATTTTTATGTGGTGCTGAGGATCGAACCCAATGCCTCACATATGCTAGGTAAGCACTCTATCACTGAGCTAGTTTTGCACAATAGGTAATTAGCTTGTAGATAATCAAGAGTTGACTATATATATTTCAATTCCCAATGGGACAGCCTGCTATAAAGGATATGGTTCTTGTTTCTGATGTTAACTCTAAGACTATACCAGCTCTGAGACCTTGAGCAACGTACTTAACCTCTCTGGACTTTAACTGCCCTTCCTGATAAATGCAAGGACTTGGACAAATTTTATGGCCTTTCTTGTTTTAACTCTTACTCCTTCTGTCCCCATATCATTCACATAGAAGAAAACTACACTTTAAAATCCTCCCAGGCGTGGAAAAGGAACAGTAGTGATTCTGATGAAGATTTTGGAGGGAGTTCATTGAGTGTAAATTCTCTTAAAAAAAAAAAAAAAGACTGAATTCTGGGCTTTAGTTTTTTAATGAACATAGGCCATGGGTCAAATATGTGCCTTTCCAGCATGGTAATTATTTATGTTTAAATTTTTTAAAAATGGAAGGGATCAAAATAACATTGTGAACAGGGGACTTTGTATGAATTCCCATGAGCAGAAATGGAAGGACTCATAAAGAGTAATATTTAACTAAAATGCCTGTGAAGCAGAAAAGAATCATTTAGAATATCACTGAACTGAAGGGGTCTTGATTCCAAGAGATGAAAGACTCATGCCCTTTATGAATATTCAGTGGAATTTATCTTTGATTTGGGTTGCTTATTTGTGAGAAATTCAGGAAAGAGGCAATGAGTATAGGATTTCCAGGTGTTTTTGAGCACATTCTTGGAATAAACCACTGCCAGGGTCTTCTGAAGAAAGATTTTTCCTGTGGCCCATGGGCCAGACGATTTTGGGGCAAAATCGACATTGAGTAGATTTGAAAGAGGAAGGCAGCCAATCCTAACCCTGGACCCCAGTCCCTTGACCTGTGGGGTGGGCCTAGAGGTATGTTCAAGGGGCTGTGAGGAGCCTATCACTGCCTGGCCACATCTGCAGGGAACTTCCTTGTTTAAAGATGACTTCACCACTTCATAATCCTGAGCAAATCCACTGCAATTTTGGGAGACATGACGCCCATGGACTTCTTTTGCTTAGAATTGTAAAGGAAATACATTTTTGCTCATATTTCTCTCCTTCTCCTGGTCTTGTCTACAATTCAGGCTTTCATTTAACTCAGCCATCTCCTTGCAGCCTAGGACAATTTATGGCTCGTTTTCAGATTAGAATGGGAGCTGAATGAGCAGGAAGGATTGCCTTCTATCCTATTCTATCTTTGCAAGTTAGAGCTGGAAGTGTCCTCTATTTTAGTTTCTGGTGGTCTCCACATAGCACTAAAAGACAAAGAGGTCTGCCAAGGCCTATTTAATCAGATAAGTGCTGATGATAAACTGGATTTGGTGAGTTCTGAGAACCCTGCACTTTGGCATGGCCCGGCTTAGCTGGTAGGGAACTCTTAGTTAAAGTCTACTTGGTACCATGCTCTGAAGACACAACCCAGGTCTCTTTTCCCTAAACCACTCTAAAGGTTTGGATTCAAGGAGAAAGCTATGCCAATCTTATTTCCAGCTGTAAAACTCCTCATTAATCACAGATTCATGAAACAGCCCTAAACCCAGGGGTCAGGTTACAGAGCCAGCTGCAAAACTGAGGGTGTGTCTTCGGGCTGGCCTTCCTCAGCCACAGATGCCACTAACGGGGTGGCATGTTTGAATCACTGCGTCTCAGACTCCATGTTGACATAAAAGCTTCTCTACGCCCTTTCTAGGTTGAACCGGGAATAGCGCTGGCAACTCTGGCCTTGGCTTCTGCTCTACTCTTAATTAAGAGGTCCTTGAACCTGTAACCTTTGGATTTGTAGCATTCAAAACGTTCAAAAATGGGTGAGGACAAAGAGGGGCAGCCAGGGTGATGGGCAAGGCAGGGACTAGCAGTGGGATGGTGGACAGCCAGCGCGGGCCTTCCTAAAGCATGCTGCTGAGGATTTCGGACACTGGCGAGGTGGGACCCTCGGGACTCATCTCAGGATGGGCAGGGCTGGACAGGCGGACTCGGCCTCCAGGGGGCGGGCTCAAGCCGGACCACGGCTGGGCGTCCTGGCGTATCAGGGCGCCAGGGTAGGGCTCCACGTAGATGCGGTGGGCAGAAGGCCTCGGGTCCTGGAGGCAGCCCTTGCGCTCCTCGGGCAGGCTGGCTGCGTGGGCCAAGGTCAGGCCCCGGTGCCCGTCGAGGGCAGGTCCAGGCCCCTCGGCCACCCTACGCTCCTGGGCAGGATCACAGGCTTGGGACAGGTGAGGCGTGTAGACGCCCTCGGAGAGCGACAGCGACTGCGTCTCACTGTGCATGCGCAGCCAGCGGCGGTGGCGGCTGAAGCCTCCGTAGTGCTGGTGCTTGCCTGACTTCCGCTTTCCCAGGAAGCCCAGCGGCGGCCGTGCGCCCGGTGCCATCTTGGCGTGGTTCTTGGGCGCGAGGCCGGTGAGTGACAGGCCGTGGAGGAACTCGACGCACGAGTGGTCAGGGTCAAGGCCTTGCGCCCTGCCCTGGGGGTCCTGTCCCAGTCCCACTGGCGTCTTCATGTCGTGGACCTGTAGGACGTCCGGGGCGCTGCCGCTGAGACCGCTAAGGGCCTGTTGGGCGATGTCATGGGAGGAAAGGTAGACCAGGTCCAGGTCTCTGGGGCTCAGGGCGTCGCTGGAGTCGTAGTCGCTGTCCGTGGGGAGGAAGACTTCCGAACAGCCTTCTTCATCAGAGCAGGGCTGGGACTCTGCAAAGCCAAGAACAAATGTTAGGAAAAAGAGACTCTGAGCCAGGGCTTGCATCATGAGCATAGGATCCTGCATTGGCCCCACGCATCACTTAAATTCTCCTGTTGTCACCCCTTGAAACTTTAATTTTGAACAAGGGCTTCACTTTTTCATTTTGCACAAGGCCCGACAATTTATACAGAAGGCTCAAGGGAAAGAGATGAACTGACAAATCCAACCCTAATAATGGTGAGGAACACTCCTTCGTATCCCCCTCCACACACATACACACACTTTTATTCTCTGGGCATCTATCTGCAGAAGGGATGAAATAAGAAACAAAGCCGGATTTGCTCATTTATTCATTCCCTATTATTTCTGAGATGAATTTTGTATTTCACACAATGGGGATTTTTAAAGGGGGAAAGAAGAAAAGACACAGGTGACTGAAGATAGGAAATCTGGTTTAAGATCCTCATTTCCCTCTATCTACTTGCTCAGTGATCTTAGGAAAGTTGCTTAACCTCTTTGAGCTCTGGTTTCTTTATCTATAAGTGGTGATGATGACAGTACTTACTTAGGAAGACTAAAGAATAAACTGATTATGTTTATGACTTAACACATTGCCAGTTTTTAAAAAGCAAAAACTGTAAGGCCCAACAAACAAACTCAGAGGCGAAAATAAGCCTCAGGGTGCATACTATAATGGCCATGAGTGAGCTACAAGTTTAGTTCTATGGATATTTGTTATTTAATTCAGTAGTTGTTCATATCTTTTTTTCTCCAATCAGGTTTTACATTTCTGTATAGCAAGAACTGTCTGAAATCCTTTGAATTTCCCACAGAGCTTAGCCCATTGTAGGTACTTGATGAATACATGTTAATTTTGAAAATGTGCAAGTGGTTTTAAAAAACAAGTAGTCCCTAATCTATAAATATGAGGTAATCTCAGTGAAAATCCCAATAGGATTTTAAAATGGAATTTAATGAATTGATTTTAAAATTATTGTGGAAGAGAAAATTTATGAGAATAGCAAACTTTTTATTTTTAATACAATAGGAAGGAGTCGGCTTTACCAGATATTAAAGCATACAGTAGAGCTTTGCTCATCAAAACTTTGTTGTATTGGTACAGAAATGTAACAGATCTGAAGTACAGAAAAATAGAGTCCAGAGACAGTCATATGACTGTGGTAATTTAACATATGGTAAAGATAAAATTTAAAAGTATGGGAACAAAATAAATTATTCAATATGTAGTGTTGGGACAACAGGCTGTCTTTTTAGCAAAATAATTAGAGAAAGTCCTACTTCATAACATATATCAAAATAAATTCCATATGGGTTAAATATAATAAGAAAACCCCCAAATATTAGAAATCAACATGTTTGCAGATTTTGAATGGGAAGATCTTTTAAAGCAAGACAACACCGCAGAGGACAAAAGAAGTGGCAGATAAATTTGATTGCATCAAAGTTTAATGCTTCGTAAAAACAAACGGCATCTTCAGCAAAGTTAAAACGTAAGTGATTAGAAGAAGAATAACAACGTGTAACAAGAATAAAAGTCAGAATATATAAAAATCTGTAAATTAGGAGACAAGGCAAATGAGAGAAGATAAGAACGAAACACTTGGAAGAATAATTAGTTCAAATGGCCAATAAACATATTATTATTATTATGTTTAGCCCAGATAGTAATTAGGGAAATGGATTGAAACAATGAGGCTTTTTTTTTTTTTTTTTTGCCCATGAAAGTTACAAAAGATTCAAGAGTGAAAATTTCATGTGTTAGTGTTGTGTGAGAAATTAAGGACTCTCATGTAGTGATGAGGAGGATAAATTGGTATAACTCTTTAGACAGCAATTTGGCAGAATATATTTAAAATGTGCATATAATTTATCCTAGCAAGTCCTTTTTTTGGATATCTGTTTGAGAAATTGTCACCATGTGCACATGGAGGCATTTACAAGTTGTTTACTGCAGCATGATTTATAATAGTGAGAAACGAGACATCATCTTGTGGTTGAGGATGCTGTGAAAGGAAGACTTAGAGGCCTAGAAGCACTACTTAAAGAAAAATAGTTTACTTGGAGAGATCTGGAAAGGAATCCATATTCAGAAGACTTGTTGATTAAAAAATGCAACATGTTGTGCTGGGGATGTGGCTCAAGTGGTAACGCACTCGCCTGGCATGCGCTGGGCTGCTGGGTTCAATCCTCAGCACCACATAAAATAAAATAAAGATGTGTGTCCACCAAAAACTGAAAAATAAATATTAAAAAGTTCTCTCTCTCTTTCTTCTCTCTCTCTCTCTTTAAAAAAAATGCAACAGATAACTGAAGAAAAAAATCCACAGGATTACCTGGATACAGATAGTCTGTGGTAGAAAATCAGATACAAGTATTTTAAGAATATTATAAAAATCTGGGATAAAGTTTGTTTTGTTAGGGAGTTAATATCAGGGTTTCTTTTACTTTAGAAATTAGAGATACATGAAATGCCATTTTGTCTTGTTTATTTCAGGGTCAGGGTATAAAGTGATTTTATGCTTTCTTTCCTGACTGTAGGAGATGACATGCATATTTACTCATAATTGGCAGAGCAGGATGTCAGTTTCACTCTCTCACATGTGGTTGTAACCAGTATACTTTTTTAGTTGCAAAATCTTAACTTCATTTGGGACAACTATGCTCTCACATAAAATACCTTTTTTTTTTTTAGTTTCCCTTACAGCTGGGCGTGATCATAAAATTATTTTTGGCCATTGAGATAAAACTGGAAGTATTGTATGAAACTTCCAGAAGGCTGAATAAAAGAATTGGCTTACCCTGAGAGACAGGTCATTTTGTTGTTCTTCTTTTGTTCAGTTGCCTACAACAAGATGTGTTCAGTCAGCCTTGGAAACAAGCTGATGCTTAGATGGGGAGGCTGAAAAATAGTTTGGTCTTTGAAGACTATGGAGTCCACATATATGTAGGCCTTGATTGCCTAGCTTTAGAGGTTTTTTTTTTACCTTTAAAAAAAACTTCTTAAGAATTACCAAATTTATTCAGCCCAAGGCTTTATCCATTTCTTTCCTTTTAACCTTAAAGTCTCTTTGTCTTCTTCCCTAACCACTTGTCTGAGGACAACACATTCTTCCATCTTTCTTACTAAGATGCAAGGCCAACACTAGAGTTCAAAACCTGATCAACGCTCCTTGTTGAATTTATCAACCTCACCACAAATATCTTCAGTCATAGATTGAACCACAGTAGGAGGATGCTATCATACTATTCACTGGACGACTGATAGTAAAAGTTCTTAAAACCAGAAGCAACCACTGAGGAGTTTGTGACACTTTCTTACTATTTCCAGTTCATAGGTCAAGTACTTTGCAAAAATAGTTTTCACTTTTATCTCTCATTATACAAATAGCAAACATTTATTGTTTAGAGAGGACTAAGGAGTATAAGAAGATGTGCTTCAAAGGATCAAGACATTCATGTTTTAAGACCTGGTCTCTCTAGAAGGGCCTGTATTGATTTCCTCAGATGAATTGGAAGTTGCTTAGTTCTCTTGCCTCTTATCAAGTTTTACTTTTATCTGTTATTGCACTTAGAATTTTATTATCATTATTACAAATATCCGTTTTCATATTAGTCTCCTTCATTGAACTACAAATCCTAGAGACCACATACTGTATACTATGTCTTTTTCATATCTCTGCTTAGTAAATGTTGGATAAGTCAGTGAATGAAGGAATGGGCTAAGGAATGAGTCAAACAAAGAGATTTGTGGAATCTCCTGTTATTTCCCAGATTATCTAATCTGAACATGGGCATATGAGCAGACCATGAGAACCTCCCCATTAGGCTCCATCTTCATCATCCTTCTATTATTAGCCTCTTATGCTGTAAAGCACCTTGAATTGAAGTGGAACTTAAACAGACACTGAAATATGGGAACATAAAAGAGTAGTAAGATTTGATTGTCCCTTGAAAACAACGCTGAAAGCATTTTGAAAAGCTTTAATTTACTTAATCTGCAATATATACTCCTTAAAACAGTTACCCAGATAATTTTGCTTTATCTTTGGTGATATTTGACTCAAGAGTTAGCCCAGGTAGAGCAGAAAGAACAATTGTCTTAAAATTAGACAAACCTAGGCTGAAGTTCTATCAGGCTCCTATCTGTGTCTATGATTTTGGGTAAATTACAACTTTTCTGAACCTTTTTTTGTCTATAACATGTAGATAGTTAATATTGCTTATCTTCCATAGGTGCTATGAGGATTATATTAGTTTGCTAAGATACATTTAAATGCCTTACAAACCAAAGGCATACCATTATCAAGATCCCTTCACCTGTAATAGAAAATATTTAGAAAACAAATGAAGATCATTAAAATATAGATCAGTAAACAGATATATTTCAAGATTTTGCTGTGAGAATACTGTTAATAATAAAGGAGTACAATAATTTCTTGTATGGCATCTTCTGTTGATAAGCTATTCCAGAATGAATTAGTAAATGATACAACTTATTTACTATAGTTTCTAGGAGCATTAGAGATAATAGGTGAAACAAGGCCCAGTTATAAATGTAATAATTCAGGATGGGGGTGAAAAAGGGCTTGGGTATGGAGTGGTAAATATCATCTTGTTCACAGACCCATAGGTAGGAAATACTGCTCTAATAGGAATCTAAATATTTGACTTGCATGGTAGTTGTATAATTATTAGAAGACTTAGTGGAATCTATTGCTTAGAGTGGGATAGCCCTCCCAGAACAAGCTGGGAAAATCTCCAGGATGCCAGCCAGGGCACTGAGGAGAGTTTCCAAGGACTTAGGCCACTACTACTCCCTCCCTTCCTGGAATAGAATGCAAAGTGCAGCTTCCATCTCCAGATCCAGGCCATATGCTCCATTAAACATTGTAGGCATCTTGCCTGGTTGTTATTTTAATAAACCTGGTTGTGCTCCTCAACTTCCCTTAGAGGGCTCACTGGCCAGGCCAGCACTAGTAGAATCTTGAGTTTCCCCTCTGGTTGACCTGGGAGCCTCTTGAAAGTTCTGCCCATAGTATTAGTGCTGGCTTAGGAAGCTTGGCTTTCATGCTATTGTAATGGTGTTGCAATTCCTGGTCTCTGTGGATCAGGCCAACAACAGCAGAGTAGAGTTGATGTGGATTTTGAGGGCGTTATGGGGAGATGACATTTCAGGAAGGAATAATTGATTTAAAGCTGTTGCTTTTTTTTTTTCAAGGCAGGGGGTATGGCAGGATAGAAAGAAATAATAAGTCATATCTGGCCTAAAATCTATCTTCACATTTTTAATGTGTCACTATCCAAATATATGTACATATATGTGTATATATATATATATATATATATATATATATATATAACAAAAAATATATATGTATAAACATATATATGTGTATGTGTGTAGTGCTTCATTAAATCAATTTCCTCTATGAGTAGAATTTAAATAATTTAAATAAAGAAATTTAGGCTCGGATGTAGCTGGGTAGTAGGGCACTTGCCCTGGGTTCCATCCCAGCATTGCAAAAAACAAGCACAATCCCCACAACAACAATCACAAAAACTAACTAAATAAAAATAAATAATTTTTTTGTATTTCTCATCAGGCCTTAGGTAGAACCTCAGAGATTTGTTCACCTTCTAACTTCCCAAGAGAAATAATATCTTTAAATTGAATTTTTGAACTCTTTGGTTTATATCACAGTGTTCTTAACATCATGAGGGAAAAGGTTACCAGGAACATTTACATTTGGAAGATCAGGATAATATTCAAATACATGTGAAGAAAATAACACCCCCTCCCCTTTATTGCCTCACCCATGTGTCACCAGGAGAAACATCAGTATCGGAAAAAAAGATTGCTGCTGCCTGTGACCACTATACCCACAGAAAAGGAGTGGGAGAGAAAATACCCATGTGATGGACCAAATCATTCCACCCCCTGCCTTGAGCTGCCTTTTCTAGGAGCCAACTTTCCCCCTTGGGTCCTTGGGAGATGCTTAATTTTAATTGACTCAGAAGAGTTCTACTTTGTGTTTTAAAAACCACACAGAAATGGGAAGTAAGTTAAAAGAGTTCCACTCCCTGCCTTCCCATCCCCAACAAATTTTTCGTAAACAAATCAAAGGTACATGATTTTAACAACCTTAGAATCTTGGGCTGGCACCATAGGCTCTGTAGGTCACACAGGTTCCTTAGAAGTTAGGTGAACCCTATCTTCACAGAATGGAATTATGCTGCAAACCTAGCCTCGTTGAGTAACCCATTGGGGATATTCCTCTAAAGTGGATATTTTCCTCTTTTGTAAATGGTCTCCAAACAATTTGAAATGGTCACACTTGTGGAGAGAACAGAGTATGGTGTGGTAGATGCCATTGTTCTGAAAGGCTTCTGCTTTTCAAGGGGATAAGATTCTCCTTGCTTTCAACAGTGCTTCCCTGTCACTGGGTTCCATTTGTCATTTGCTGCCCTCCACGTCTTTGTATTTCATAGCCCATGGAATCTTGGCTTCAGAGAAATAAATGGACCCAAGAGAAAGTTGTATTTTAGGAAACAGAATGATGATCACTCACATTTTAAGTTAATAATAAAATCCAAATGTAATTGGCCAGATCCTCCCAGCAGGGAGTGTGTGTAATCCATCCTCAGGCCAATGTGAGGGTTTGGCATTTCTATGGCATGGAGGAGGCCACCCTCATACAGCCAAGGAGGAACCCACTTGGGACTGTGTGGCCAAGAGAAGATTAAACACTGGGAAAGTTCTGTGAACAGAGAGGGCTGATGAGCTGTGAAGGTGGAAATAGAATTAAAAGGTTGTTTCTAGAATTTTATGAACTGTGGAAGATGATAGGGCATTCTTTCCTGCCTTAAAAAATGCCTTTCAATCCTTTACTCTTCTTGCTACTGCCTTCCCTCCCTTTTCCTTTTCACAGCCAAGATTATAATAGAATGTGTCTTACTGATCCACTTCTTCACCTCCCATTTACTCTCTGATCTACTTCTGCTCAGCTTTTCTTTCCCCTCACAAACTGCTCTCATTAAGATTACCAATGACTTCTTGTTGAAAAAAGCAAAACAACAGAAGATTTACAGTTGTTTTGTTTAACCTCTCACCATCCTTTGACATGCTTTAATTTCTGTGACAATACTCTCTTGTTTTTGTATCTTCTTTCTCTGTTTGTTCCCTCTTAGACTAAGAAGTCTTGCTGCTTCATTCCATAGGGAATCCTTCCATCATCCTCTCTTCTTATTTTACCTATTGCAAGCATTTTCATAGCTTCAAACATAATCCACATGTCAACAATTTCTTAAATCTGTATAAGCAGCTTAGTTTTCTTTCCTTAGCTCCAGACCGTACTCATCTTTTTTTCCTCTGGAATATTCCAAAGCTAATACAAGTTCAGCATGCCCAACCACCAAGCTTGTTTCTCCTTCTTTCTTTTCTTCCTTTCTCTCTCTCTCTCTCTTTCTTTTTCTTTTCTTTTTTTTGGTAAATAACATCATGATATCCCCAAATACCTAAGCCAGAAAACTTTTTATATCCTTCGTTAATAGCTTCCTAATTGGTCTCCCTCCTCTCAGTAGTTCTCCTCTATGGTCTCTTCATACAATAGTAAGATTTGAAAGTGGAACTATAATTGAAGATCCAATCAATTCTTGCTTAAAAATTTCCAGTGGCTTTCTGTCACAAGTAGGAAACATCCAAACTTCTTAGTACTGCCTACAGAATCCTGCCTATTCCAGCCCCCTGCCCCCCCATCTTGTACCACTTACACCTTTGTGCATTATACTCCAAGCACTTGGACCTTCTTTCCATTCCTCACCCACCTAAGGTCTTTTGTTCTTTTGTTGCTTATAATACTCCATCTTCAGATTTTCGCATTACTGCCTTATCCTGTGGTTGGTACAAATATCACACCTTCTCAGATAGATCTCTGTTGATCATCCTAGTGAAGTCAACATCTTCCTGCCTACTCACAATTCAATTGCTATTTTGTATTAGACACTGGAATTTTCACTATCTGATTTTATCTTTTTTGTTTATGTTTTCATTGTTTCTCATTCTTTCTAGATATAAATTTTATAGGAATAAAGACTTTACTTTTTCATTATATCCCATTTCTTTGAAGAGTGCCTGGCACATACTGGGTATTCAAAAAATATTTTTAAATGAAAAACAAAAAGAATGAACAATGTCTTTAAGTCCTGAATGTCAGTGAGACAGTGTACACAGTTATAATCTGTTTGCTCTGCCTATAGTGTTCTCCATTTTATTCTTTTTCTGCTCATCTTTGGCTTATTCTTAGTACTGGATTCTGTCACTTCTTCCAAGAAACTCACATCTCATGAGTTTAAAGGCTAATGCCTCTAATAGACTCTATAACCCATGCAATTTTTGGTTAATATATTTCTATCTCCTATTAGACTAGTTTCTGGCAGAGAAGATATTTGGTTTGTATCCCCAAACCAGTAGAGGCTCATAAAAATATACTCTATTTCTTTTGTTGAATTAGTTGATAAGTCACGGACTCCTTTGGTAATATAAATTAGCTGTCTCCCAATATTCCTCAATTTGCCAAGTTTTGATTTTTAGACATTGAGACTTTTAAATCATAAGAGCACATACAGACTTAACTTATAGACTTAGCTAATGTCCTTACTAAATTTTTCTATAATAAGAATAACAACATTAAATATGTCTGTAATAATTGTGTATTATATCCCACGCATTGCTGATATAGATTGTCTTATTCACAAATAACCCTTCAAGGTGTATATATTATTATTCACCTTTTACATAATGGAAATGAGGCTCACATGTGGTAATCTGTTCAAGCACATACAGCAAAACAAAGCTGAGATTTGAATCCAGATCTCTGATTTCTAGGCCCAAGCTCTTTCTGCTACACCATGCTGCCCCCTATGGGGCAAGTCTACAAATTGGAACTGTTTGTTAAAAAATAACTATGAAGATTATAAAATCGGAGATCTTTTAAGCTGTAAAATTGAGAAAGCTGCTTTGAGTGGCCATTATTTTAATAGACTAGACAAATAACACTAATCCCAACATGTTCTAGGAAAGAGAATTATACGGTACTACATAACCTATGCTTAGTATGCTTTTTCTCTGCTTATGAGCATAAAGGATTTTGGTATACATTTGTTAACCTACTGATGTTTTTGCTGATAGTATTTTGCTATCTAACCTCAGACTTCCCAAGGGAGGAGGTGCCTTGCTTGACATATCCTTCAGCTTTTCTGTAAGTTCATCATATTCATGAGAGGCATGCTACTTATTTGGCTTTGGTTATGAGATACTAGTTTATCTAAGATTTCTCCCTTTCCCATCTTCACTTCAGAATATTGGTGCCAGATGGATGGGAAGTTTGTCTTCATCTCTTACTTTGGCTTCCTGCCTCAGTTTTGTCAGTTCTTCTTTATGATAGGCTGTCTGTTCTTCCCTACCCTGATTTGATTAGATTCTCTTGGCTGACATGGCCATCACCTGGCACCATAGCCATTCTCATTTGGTACTTCTGAATCTTTACCCTTGCTCTGTGTTCTTTCCAGGAAGTGTGGTCAAGAACCGAACTGACTCTTCACTTTTCCTAAATGGAGTTGATTTCAGGTTATTGACCTAGTTTCTGGCCTTTCCACTATTCTGGTTTGGTTTCTTTTATGTGTTCAAACTATTACCACTGAGCAGTGTTTCTTGCAACTTGCTTGAACCAGTGCCTCAGCACAAAGAAAATCATTGGTGGAGAGAGGACCAAGAATCTGGTGACTGAACCAAGGAACTTTAGAACTTTATTGCTTACCACTCACTGCCTTTCTTCTGTGCATCTCTGGGGATGGGGATAGTGATGGAAGACAGTCGATATGTGATGATGTAGAATTGATCTTCTTTAGATCCTGCTCATCTGAGGGGTATATCAGCTTAGTGATGGGAAAGCCAGAAACTGGTTGTTTGTATCTTGCATACTGTAGAGCATCCATGATCCATCTCATTTCACGCCAACTTTCATCTATTTGCTTTGGAATAAAATGGTAAGAGACATTAAGTTATCAAATAGCTTTTTAAAAGGAATAAGTTTTCCTAAGAACCAAAAAATGATCTGTTTTCCACAGTATTGGTTTTTGAATAAGAGTAAAATATTTCAAAATGTGTTTGCTAAGCCAGAAAATACCTCTTCTTTGTAGTCTCTTGTTTTTTGCATATTTTACCTGAAAAGCTATATCTTTTAGTGGAAACAGAAGACCCAGATGATATTTAGCTCTGTAATAACCTTTAGCAAGTATTTGACCATTTTGAGCCTAAGTTGCCTTATTTAAAAAATATGGATAAAATATCTTCCCTTTTATACTTCATAGGGCTGTGATAAATGACTAAAATGATGAATTTGAAAGTGCTTTGTGATATCGCAGAGGACATCATACACACTTATAAAGTGCTATTAATTCTTAGTATTTAATGAAATATTCCTCATTGGGATATTGTGGGGGATGCGATACAGTCAGATGTGAATATCAGAATACTTGGGCCTATGTTAAGAGAAAAGAAGCAACTTTATATATTAAACTTATTGTTTTCTTGCTTCCAAAGTATAAAACATCTTACGTAGCTTATTCTTAAGTAATCTAAGCATTCTTGGATTTTTTTTAGGGTAGCACATTTTAAATTGTTATGTTTTGATTTCTGGATTACCAAAGTGACTTTAATGACATTTTCATTATAAAGTATAACAGTAGTTTCTCTAAAATCTGTTTGTGTAAAAGTCACTCAAATTTCTGTGCCTGTTTCTATAGGTGATAGATATTTTACCAGGTCTTGGTAGAGGGTGACTGTGAGCTTTCTGGTTATTCTATCTCCAAGGAGAGGCAGTTAGTTACACAGTGCTTCATAGGGCCCTGGTTAGCTTTGCATCTGATTTCACTAGGTACCTACAGCAAGGCATTAACTTCTTCAAGCCCATTTACTCAACCACAAAAATGGACTAAATGATGTTTAAAGTCACTTCAACTTTAAGATTTATTTTTGAAGAATATTTAGAAAGTTGATGTAATTCTACTTCCAGGTAGAAGGTGTTCATTGCATGAACAATTCAAGATCAAGGCCCTTTTGATTATAGTGGTTTTAAAGATAAGGTACTGCCCAGTGTTATATTTTATTTTCAAAATTTCTTCTTGTGTCTTTAACTGTACTTATCTGTATTTAAGCCTGCCTTTTAAAGAATATTCACAAACCTGGTATTCCCAACACAGAGTTGAATCTGAAATGGTGACATGCAGTGGGCCATGATCAGAGTAACAGGCAGACTAGAATGAACCAGTGAATGGCATTGTGTGTGTAGTCGATAGTCATTTCCCTTGCTATCTAGTTCTGTTCTGGGGTAATAGGACCTGGCAGAGCATGATACTGAGCTCCAGGGTTTGTTAGCTTGGTGAGTTGGGCAGGAAGGCTCACAAGGAGGCACCAAGCCATTTTGAAGGGAATAATATGAAATTCAAGAGATAAAGCAAAGTGGGAATCCCAGATGAGACTTTTCCTGATGAGATTATAGCTGTCTCAGCTGGCTTTTATTGGCCCTACCTCATGTAGCATACTCTTTGTCTCAAAGTTACTTTAAAAAAATTTATCAAAGTTATTTTAAGGCACATTATTGTGAACTGCTTTTAGAGTGCTTGTCAAGGACAGGAACTATACTTTTCTATCTTCTCTTTAGCTGTGTAGAGTAGTTATTAAAAAAATGACTGCTTAGTGAAAGAATGAATGAATGAATGAATGAATGGAATGGTTGCATAATTCTTTAAATCTTTACCCTCAAAGGGTTATTATAAGGATAAAGTAAGATAATGTAGAAGAATGCACTTTTGTCAAAATGACAATCATGGTTATTGTAGTGGGCTGAAGGTAGACCTCTAAAAGATGTCCAATTCTCATACTCAAACCTGTGAATATTACTTTATATGGTAAAAAAGTAAATATCACCTTATATGGCAAAAAGATGTGTTTAAGGATTTTGAGAGGAGGAATTTAGCTTGGATTATCTGGATGTGCCCTAATTCCAATGACAAATGTTAACATAAGGATATTCTTGTAAGAGTAAGACAGAGGAAGATTTGGCAGACATAGGAAAAGGGGGCCATGTGACCACAGAAGCACAGGTCAGAGTGATGTGGCTGCAGGTTAAGGAATGCCAATAGTTACTGGAAGCTGGGAGAGGTAGCAAATGAACACCCTGCTGCCTTCCATTCCAAGAGCCTCTTTTAGGAAGTGCGTCTTTACCAACATGTTAATTTCAAATTTCTGGTCTCCAGAAATGTAGAAAATAAATTTCTATTGTCTTCAGGAACTCATTTTATAGTAATTTGTTACAGAGACCTTAGGGAATAAATGTACTTATCATACCTGTTTTTTTTTTTTTTAAGATTAGATTATCTGAGCCTATTGCTAAGGATAGAGTTAGTATAGAAATTAAAAAAAATTTTGTTTAGAAGAAATGTTTGCTACTTAGCTTTTTTTTCAGTGATGAGATGGATAAGTCTTAGCTGAAGAAAACAAAAAACCCATAGGTACAGGGAGGCCCATGGATTGAGTTTAATGGGACTTAGCTAAGTAGCTCCAAAAGAAGTATAATTTTCACCCATTTTACCTTATACTGTTGATCTGAAAGTAACTGACAACATAATCCCCCCTGATTTTAAGGTCCAAATTCAGCTTCTAAAGACTTGCTGACACATTTTAAAAAAGAAAGACCATGAACTCCCTAGGACTGTTGATTAAAAGTTCTGCATTCATTTCTCACCCTGCTCTTTACAAATTTCAGTTTTCATCCCATAAATTAGACTCTTTTTTCTGTACTCAGGCAAGATAATATTTTTATTAAAATATAAAGGTGATTGGTTTTCTCACAGCATAGCTACAAGGTGCTTGAGGGGATGATAGATTGGCTATATTTAATGAGCTGTGTTTCTATTACAGCTTAGAAGCATTTGAAGCATTACAGTATATAAATTATGGTCTAATTGCCCTTTAGGCTTTGGCAGCTCAAAACATGCTGAGCTCTAGGTCTTTGCACTTTGACATTTCTCTCTCTCCCCCGCCCTTTTCCTTCTCTCTCTTTTTCTTTTACTCACTGACTTTTCTGCTGTATGTGCTGACTTAAGGCCAGTATACCTTATCTATGGTTTTCTATATCCCCCCATCCAACCCTCCCCCTATCTGGCTGTACTCCTTGGCTTCTTTTCCAAATCATATTTACATAGACTCCCTTGCTCTTTACAATGTTTGGTTTGTGTAGTGACTTCAACACTGTCTTAGATCTGGAATCATACAAATGCTCTTGCGACTGGCGGTCGCCTCTGCAGGTTATAGTGTGTAGTAGTCTGAGCTGTGAACACTAATGGATGAGTGGTTGCAGCTGGTTTTCATTGAGAGAGAGAGAGAGAGAGAGAGAGAGAGAGAGAGAGAGAGAGAGAG